AATATTCAACAATTTTTTGATCATCTGCATCAGCTGCGTGACCAAGACCGGTGCAGATCCCTTAATGCATACTGATGTTTCAGCAGTATCGCCTTCATTAGAGTTTGGAAAGTTGAAAGATAACCTGCACCAGGTCATACACCTCATCAAATCCAGAGAGACTCATTTTTCGAATAAAATAGTCAAATCAAAAAATGCAAATAAAGGTGGCATTCGCCTTGATAAATGGTGCATTCAGAAAGATGCATTTCAAATTCGAAATAGGTTATTGGCATTACTCTCAATGCTTTGCACACTAACAATAAGACATCGGGTTTACGCACAGATATATTAGGTTCAGAAATTAGTGCCCGTCTTAAATCTTAACTGCAACAAGTCATACGCTTTTGACTTACAGATAGTGTAAGTCAAAAGTGTTATCGTGTGTTATTCGATAGAGCAAAGCAAGCTCTACTAGACAACGTTTTTGCTTTTGCAGTAGCTCTGATCCAGCTCGAGTCTGAAGCCGAAAATTAGGATGATTCAACTGCCCGAAAAATCAAAAAATTCGTAACCCAGTCCAAATACATCATACAAATATCGCGGGTTGCGTTGGATTATATAAATGAGTTTGATACACTTCAACAACATGGAGCCAATTGCAGTTTTCCTGATAGCTACAAATCAATTATCCTTATCAAAAATGGTTAGCACGTTTGGGTTGCAGACAGCTTTTGATGATTTCACTGGCTTCGAAGAAGAGAAAATGATCTAAACAAAGATGGTTGGGGGTTGGAGACCATCAGAAGATCATACAAAAAATTGAAAAAGCTGTTTGCACACTCGCTGCTGTGTTCCTAGCAAAACGTAGTAGAAACACTTGCGGATAGTTAGACCGCGTGAAATACAGAACACTGAAACTTTGAGATATGAAGCTTTCTTTCCATTTGCGTTCCCCTCTCCAGCAGGGGATGCATGCGGCCTTGGTCCGGCCTTGGTATCTAGAAGAGCTCAAAAGTAAATTTGCGGGTGTCTTTGAATTGGCTGGAGTCAGGTCTTCAATATCCACTACATCTGCCGTATATATGGATGCTATTGCTGAAGCAATTGGAGAGCCAATCTGCCTAGCTATGTACCAGGTTTGCCTTTTCAGTATCAAAAAATGCGTTGGTGGAGCAAGAGTTCCAGGAGAGATGTCCAGTGCCGGCGATAATATGACAATTACGGAAAGATTCAAAAATGTTCTTGAAAATATTGTCGGCCGCAAGTTTTTTGGTATGACGGATAAAGAGACTGACTCATTTCGCAAAAGGTTCGGTGCACATTTCAAAGACTGGAAGGCAAGCAGTTTTCGTATTTCCGAATTTCGATTCAAGTAATTAATATGAAGTAGTAAAGAATTTGGTTGCTGATACTTAATGCCAGCGTACTAGCAACTTCGGAGGTTTATAGCTGCTTTTTGCTGAGACTTCCTATGTGATGACAAATTCGAATGCTTACTTGAATTATCCTCGTCCAGCTCTCCACAAGACCGTCCCTATTGGAAGGCTTACTGTACCTCCAACTACAGGAATGAATGAACTTACTGCGATACGTTGCAAATATGGAACCTATGCGTGTACCACAGATTTTCTAAGGGATGGAATGCAATTTTGGACGAATGAAAGGCAACAGTCCTCGTTTCCTTCGGTCAATCGCTAAAACTAGAAACTTGCCGAAAAGTACAGGTAAGAAATCTGGCAAATCAGTTTTGGTTTCTATGGTAAAATTTATTCAGAAAATCTATCCTGGAAATATTCGAAAGCATGCCTAACACGACATTCATGATGAAGTACAAAGAAGAGGAAGCACATCTAGCAGATCATCTTTGAAACGTGCGTCTCACTTCGTGGTTCCCGCAAAACGCCCTTCTCGGTGAGATTTCGCCAAGTTATGTCTAACGCATTTATAAGATTCAGCCGATCCAAGATTCCGCGCCTTTGTAATGTATGGAAGTTTAGGAAGCTAGAATTATAGAATTGGCTTGTTAAGGGAAGCCAACCTTTCTTGTAGGTCCAAAGCAAATTACGTGGACGAGAATGATTAAGGATGATTATGTTTTATAGCTTCCGATCTTTCATGATCAATCAAGGCATGCACACATGCTTTCTAGGCATGGAATGGAATTGTGTTGACGAATTTTGATCTTGAAACTCCCAGACTAAAAGAGAGCCTTTCAAAGTTGTTGATGATGGTATGCAATTGATCCTCTTAATGACTGGCGCAAAGTTAGTCGAAAATGTATTTTTT